AACCAGGGAGGAATTACTCTCACTTTCTAGAGTTGTAATGAGCTCAAAGAATTTATTCCAAGACCCCAAACATACCTATAAGGACCAGTGAGAAGTCACATGTGACCTTTTGGGTTGACCTCTGTCTGGATCATCTCTAATTTCTAGCATCAATCCCGTCTCTAATGGACTGTGAGGAAAATTCACATATGGTGGGATCCAGGCAAGCGCGCGCGCACACACACACACACACACACACACACACACACACATCTCCAGGCAGCTACAGATTTGGTTCCTGCATGTTTGCCTGATTGAGAGGGACAGGAATCTACTTGGGGGGACGCAGGGGGGAGACTGTGGCCTATGGGCTGAATTGTTACCTTTGTGAGGTATATTCCTTATTTCTAGGGCAGCAATGGAGACAAAGGGTGCATTTAGTTTGTGGGACAGGATGGGGGCAGGGGAAGAAACAGAAACCAGAGGATTGGGCAACCATGGTGCTTTCAAAGCCCTCCAGGAAGTTTATGCATGAGACGAGAAGCACAGCTGTTTCCAACAGCGCTGTTTACGGATGGGTCACAGTCTTACACACGTGCCCGTGCCCTCTGCGCTTCCACCCCAGCCCCGGAAGACAGGTCACTTTCGGTAGACTCTGCCGGGCCTAAGCACGCTTGTGCCCACCCCAGAAGAGATCGGCTGTCTCAAAAGACAAGGGGTGTTCAGAGGGAAGACTGAGCAAAGGCTGGGGTGAAGAGCAGCGGGATGCTGAATCTCAGCGGAAGTTGGGATTCCCTGAGGAATGTAAACCAGACTTACTGCAGAAGGCTGCACCCCAGGGAAGCCCTCCGGTTGACCAGCCAGGGTGTGCCTTCAGTACAGAACCTCACAAATCAGCACAGCAATTTGGGTTTCTCGTGAAAAATTCAAGACGCTCGTTGGTCCTTACATAGTAAGGAAGAGTAAAGGAGCAGGTGCTTCAAGGGTTGGAGGATGGTGTCTTCTGTCTCTAGCCTGGTCAGCTGCAGCATCTCCTGGAAACCCAGAGCAATATTTTAAGAGGGGGCTCGGAGCTCTCTGTGTGTACTTAACACATCTTCTTTACTGATGGAGTGACCTCTTGTCTCACTTCTCCCTTACCCTGGAGATTCAGGCCGACATAAAGAGATTTCTCTATCAACCTCAAACCAATGTCACCATTCTCTCCCTGACATCCATCCTCGGGGTCCTGGGTGTCCTTACCCATGCCCTGGCCATGCTGTCCATCTTCCTAATGCTCTTTCTTCTTGACTGCCTCACCGCTGCGTCCAGAACAATTTAGATGAGATGCTGTAAAAGCTGAAAGAGAACTGGGTGTATGTCAACGATCCAGAGGCAGAGTGCTGGGGCCAGGTTGGCCTATGCTGGCGCGCTGCTTTGCAGCATTGGTGTATTCTGTTTGCAAAGGGAGTCTTCCGTAGAACAGTGACTCCATTTCAGAACCAGCTGTCGGTGCCTGGCCCTTCAGTGGATGTGGGTGACATTTACATCTGAGAGCCAGGTCTGCCCTGGAAGCACTTGATTGGCTTCCTACTTTCATTGCTGACTAGGCCGTGTGCCATCTAGAATTGGTACTCAGTTCTTATTCTTACCTTTCTTATCTAGAAAACGCAGGGGAAGGGTAAAGTACCGAAAGAACACTTCAAAGAGTTACTTTGAAGAATCTGAAAGCTGTAAGGACCATTTACCCGGGTGAAGAGCTTGCTTAGCTCAATGTCTGGTGCAGGCAGCCTGAATAAATGACCGTTGCTGCAGCCACTTCCAGAAAGAACCAGATAGTTCCTCCTGCTCTTGCTTCTGTGCTCCTGGTAGCCCACAGAGAGAGGGCAGGCCACATCCTGCAGTGTGCGCAGCTGGGGGCAGGGAGTGCATGGAGCAAGAGAGGAATCTGGCAGAACAAGTTTTCAGTGGTTTTTGTTTTTTCAAAGTAATAGAAAATAAATCAAAGGTGAAAATGCAAACCTGGAAAAAGAATGGATTCCATTGTTCCTTACTGGATAAAAGACTCTTCAAATGCTGTTCATTCTGATATGAAACACGAGCAACATGGCTGACTCTCTCTGCCGGCTGGCCACTTCTCAACCCTAGATGCTGGCTGCCTTGGGCTTCTGCTTAACTTGGGGCTGGCTCCCATTGTTGTGTGAGAAAAGAAGACAGGCAGCAGAAAAGGCTGGGGAAGCCCTGCCCTTGGCTTCAATTTGCTCATCCCTGATAGGACATCAGGACTCTGGAGGGACAGGGTTAGAGCACTTGGCTAGTAGCAGTAGCCTCACTCATACTAACTTGAGCAGACAAGAAGACCCTCTAAAGATGCCACAGTGTCTCAAAGATGAAGAGACCCTCTCCACTCTGCTTCCATGCTCTAGAGCAGACTTCAGCCGTGCCTCTGCAACAGCTCCCAGCCCGACTAGTGGATCTGGTCTCACCGCCCCCAAGTCTACAGTCTTAATGGACAATCAGGTTAGCCCAGCATGGGTCAAGTTGCTTTCCTGTTAGCAATCAGCGACAAGCCAGGCAGTGCACAGGATCACCTGGAGCAGGCCTTGATGAGCCCGGTGCAAGGGACACAGTTCACAGTTCATGGGACTGATCAGTCGTGTTCTGCATCCCGCCCATCCCCAATTCGGCCCCATTTTAACTACATTCTAAGGTGGCTCTGTACTCGTTGCCTCTGGCTTTCTTCCTGCCAAGTGAGCCTTGAGCCTAGACCAGCTTTCTGAAATATAACAGGATGGAAATGGTGGGCTTTAGACCCAAGCAGACCTACCACTTACTAGTTCTGTGACCTGGAAGAGTGAATTTATCCCAGTGAGCCTTCGTTTTTTGATCTATAATGCACACCTGATGTATATCTAATGTGCAGTCAGGCAGATGCCCAGAATAAAGCCATCATGTTTAAAACCCTGGCACATAAGGTGTATATAGTTCTATGAATTTCCTTGGCTTAATTCCAAAGTCTTCAAGAGGGCAAGGGGGTGTCTATAAACAAGAAGGGAAGGGAGAAAAGTGGTATAACTTTCTGAAAAACATTTTAACTTTGGCTTCTCTGCAGTTATCCTGAGCACACATTAAATAATTTAGGTCTGTGAGCAGAGTCATGGGAGCCACACTGTGGTGGGTACAGCTCTTGTTTTAGAGACAAACCAGTTGTTTGTTCAGGAAACCAATGACAATGCTTTATTGGTATAAAACATTTATTGCTATGGCTCCATGGTCCTCCAACCTTGTTCCACGGATGTGAGGGTCCCAGCCTTCAGTCTGTTCACCGGGTAAGGGAATGAAGTGATTTGGCATTAGGACTGCACAGACATGTTACTGTTGGAGACACGCACAACACAGTGAGCAGTTGCCTTTTCCTATAAGCTATAGTTTATGAAATTACTACAGTGAGCACTGTGCCAATTTTTACATGTTATCTAGATCCTTCCTATGAAAATGTTTTTAGGCATGGAAAACTGAGACTCAGACAAGCGAGTTGCATGGTGACAACATTGGAAGTAAGCGTGATTCGGTCTGCCCCCAGCACCTTTTCTTATAACGCCATTTGCAATATTGCTTCTCAATACCTTGTTCTGCTGCAAATTTAGTGGCTGTGGTGTCTGAATGAGGTTGCTCCACATAGACTTACATGCTTGAATGCTTGGTCCCCAGCTAGTGGAGCTGTTCCGGGAGAATTGGGAGATGTGGCCTTGTTGGAGGAGGTGTGTCACTAGGAGTGGTCTTTGAGGTTTCTAAAGTCCATGAGAGGTCCAGTGTCATTCGCTCTCTTCCCACTGCCTACAGAGAAGGATGCCAAGCTCTCAGCTACTGCTCCAGTACCATGCCTGCTGGCTCCCCACCATGATGATAATATACTAACCCCTCTGAAAGTGTCAGCAAGCCCCAAATAAATGCTTTCTTTTATAGGAGCTGTAGTTGCTGTGGTGTCTCTTCACGGCTGAAGAACACTAACTAACACAGCAGCAGCAGAAAAAAAAAAGTCTCATTTAATAAATGCATCGCCATGGGGGCATTACCCCTTCCAGCATGAAGGGGCCCAGGGTGTGAGCACCCAGACATCCTAGGTCACAGTGAGGAAGGAGGATCTGGGAACAGCATGGGTGCGGCAACAGGCTGAGTCCAGACGATAACTCTTCTTGTCAAGTAGCCCAACACAGCCCCAAATGCAAAGTCATGGGATTAGAGAAAGAAAAACAATGAATGCTTTTCAGGAAGTCTCCTTGGACCTGAGGAATATTCTAACTTATTTAGAAGATAGCAAATAGGGTAAGGTTGAACTTGGGGGGAATATAAAACAAAGCTAGAAATGTTGTACTTCCTTAAACTGGTTGGTATTTCCCAAGTTGGTCAAAGTGTGAGTACTTAGAGTATATAGCTGCCTAGGGTAGTTGTGCATGTGGGAGAGATATTTCTCTTGATTCCAGTAAAAGAAGAAAGCATGCTTAGGTACTGGGAATAAGTCCTCATGTGACAGAAGAATCCTTTCTCCTATTAACCTGTGTGTCAATCATGGGGATTTTGGGGACCTCTAAACTACTTTCATTTTCTTCTGTGTATCCCATTGTGTTTCAGACCAAGTCTCCTTGGGGAACAAATATTTGAATTTATGTAGGCAGGAACTACAACTCAGGCAGTAGAGTGTTTGCCTAGTATTCATAAAACCACAGGTTTCATACCCAGCACCACAAAAGCTGGGTATGGCGGTACACACCTGTAATCCCAGCCATTTGGAAGGAAAAAGTAGGAAGATCAAAAGTTCAAGGGTATCCTCAGCTACAATAGCAGGTTTGAGGCCAACCTGGAATAAATGAGATCCTGCTTCTAAAAACCAAAATAAAGGGTTTTTTTTTTTAGTTAAAAGTTTAAATATTGAGCATAGAAGCTAGAAAGTAATGTTTTTTAAAATAAAGTATAGCATTGCACTTGGTAAAATTGAATCGAAATCTTAAACATGTCTATTTTATGTCCTTTCTGTCTTTCAGCTCCAGGGCTCCTTGAAAAGAAAACAAATAATCAACCTGTCTCCTGCCAACAGCAAGAGGCCCAATGGCTTTGTCAACAACTCGTTCCTCGATATCAAAAGGATCAGGGTAGGGGAGAACCTTTCCACAGGTCAGGGGACCCTCCCGGTAAATAATGGACAAAGTCATATGATGCCAGGACCCTTGACCATGAGCCAAGCACCCCTGAGAAAGACTAACGCTGCGCCCCCTCCTGGGCACTCTCCTAGCAACGCCATGTTTAACATGGGCTTAAAGGAGGTGAAGAAAGAGCCTGGGGAGACCGTGTCTTGCAGTAAACATGCGAACGACCAAATGACACAGGAAAGTCAGTTTGGAGATGACCCTGGAGAGCAACTGATGGACCCTGAACTACAGGAACTGTTCAATGAGCTGACCAACATATCAGTGCCTCCCATGAGTGACCTGGAACTAGAGAACATGATCAATGCCACTATTAAGCAGGACGACCCATTCAGCATTGACTTGGGTCAGCAGAGCCAGAGGAGCACACCCAGACCTTCCCTGCCCATGGAGAAGATGATTATCAAAAGCGAATATTCACCTGGTTTGACCCAGGGCACCTCAGGCTCTCCCCAGCTAAGGCCCCCATCAGCTGGCCCTGCATTCTCCTTGGCCAACTCTGCTCTCTCTACTTCATCCCCAATCCCCACAATCCCCCAGAGTCAGCCTCAGCCTCAGACAGCAGCAGGAACAAATAGGGCCCTGCCGAGCTGGCAAGAAGTGTCCCATGCCCAGCAGCTCAAGCAGATAGCTGCAAATCGCCAGCAACATGCACGGATGCAGCAGCAGCAGCAGCAGCAACAGCAGCAACAGCAGCAGACTCCTCCCAGCTGGCCAGCCCTGCCCTCCTCTGCTGGGCCATCCCCAGGGACATTTGTGCAGGAAAACATGCCCAGTTCTTCCTTTGGCCAACAGCCATTCAACCCACAGGGGTCATCTATGCCTGGGGTAGCCAGCAGCAGCAACCAGTCCAAAGCAGTGACCAACTATGCGTACAAGGCTAGCCCCTCAGCCCAGGCTGGACACCTGGATGTGCTTCTGCAGCAAAAGACTCAGGATCTCAGTCGAAGTTTTATTAACAACCCGCACTCAACCTTGGAGTCCCGACATGGCAACACCAAGCCTCTGTTCCATTTTAACTCAGACCAAGCAAACCAGCAGATGCCTTCTCTTTTGCCTTCCCAGAGCAAGCCTTCTCTCCTGCACTACACGCAGCAGCAGCCTCAGCAGTCACAGCAGCAGCAACAACAACAGCAACAGCAAGGCTCGCTGGCAGCTCAACAACAGCAGCAACCACCACAGAGTTCATTGGTAACTCAGCAGCAGCAGCAGCAACAGCAGCAGCAGCAGCAGCAGCAGCACCAACAGCAAGGCTCAATGGCAGCTCAGCAGCCGCAGCAGCCGCAGCAGCAACCGCAGCCACCATCCCAACCCACCCAACCTTTATCAAGCCAGTCTTTGCTAAGGTCACCTCTGCCACTTCAGCAAAAGATCATGCTTCAGAAAATGCAGCCTCAGCCCATCGCAGGCCTGGGATATCAAGTCACTCAACAGCACAGACAGGTAAGGGCTCTGGTACTCTACCCCAGAACTCTCACGAACAATTAATTTGGTTATTATAGGATACTCTTATGCTTATGGTGAAACACGATTAATACCAGAAACCCAGTGGTCCACATGGGCTCACAAGAGTTTGGTTCTCTCAGTATGTCTAGAGCAAGCACTGAAGTTTCCTTATACAATCTCATTGCTTTGGGGTTCTGTAATAATCAGCAATTCTTACAACTAAGGCTTTGGTGATATATCCAGTTGTCAGTCGGTTCCTGATATGCTTGGTGTTCATTCATCCAACCAGAAAACCAGATTAATATGCACTGAACGCTACTACACAGAAGACACTGCGGTTAGGTTGAGCATTGGGATAAGGTTAGAGGTGATGCCGAGGGTGGTCACTGATGTGGGCAACTGTTGCATTCATCCCAGCCTCTCCTACAAATCCCATGGGACTCAATGCTCCCCATCTGCTCACCAGCCCGAAACCTCAGGCACCATCTCGAGACAGAGCCAAGCGCCTGAAACTACGGCTTTAATGCTGCATAGAAAAAGCAGCAGCATAAGAACGCTAAGGTCTTCCCCAGAGAGCAGAAAGCAGGGATGGCTTCCGTAAAGAACTGTGCTTGGGTGGAGTGACAAGGGGTACGATAGTCATAACTATAGCAAAATAAGGGTCTAAAAAATAGAAATAACCCCAGAGTTGTCTTATGTCCTTTGGTTTTACATTAAATAAAGGCTTAATTCTACCCTGATAAACAGTGTCAATAAATTGGACACTCCTCTAGAAGACATTCTGGTGAATAATTGCTGACCACCAGGGAACATGGTAGAGGAATCTCTTCCTGGATGGGACGGAAGGAAGGAGAGAGGGAGGGAGGGAGGGAAGAGTTTGAATATTGCATTGTCCATGTTGCTGGCAGATGTGCGTTACCATAGGGCAGCAAGTTGCGTGACAGAAAATGGAAAACCACAGACTGCCAGCTAGAGGAGTAAAAGATTTCAGCCCCCCCCCCGCTGTGTGTGTGTGTGTGTGTGTGTGTGTGTGTGTGTGTGTGTGTGTGAGTGCGCACTTGCGCACGTGCACATGTTCTAATTATGAGCCGTGGAATAGTCTTGGGTAAACTTGTAAATATTTTACATTAGTATGACATAATAACCATATAATCCTTTTATAAAACAATTTTAGATGATTTTAAAATGTATTAGAGAACTTCCTTCCAATGCCACATGCAAGCATTTTGTCCTTGGTAAATGTGGGTTCAAATCCTCTCTTGACACTCCTTGTCACTTGCCACGCCCTCTCAGCTGCTCCTCAAGCTATGGTGGAATTGGAATAGGATCTGAGGATCTGCTGGGCTTGCATGGACAGTGGAACAAGGTGATTCCCAAACAAAACCACACAATAAGTGAGGATTATTCTCAGTCTGGTGTTAAGTGCCTCGGATAATCAAACTACCTCCTTTAAGGAAGCAAGCACTCATGCAAAGGAGGCTTCAGATTAGCACGGGCCATGCTAAGGACACGAATTCTAACATATAAACAGTTCTTCAGAGATAATAGACAGCTGCTGCTGCCTCTTCAGCTATCCACACTGTGACAGGTGCTTATAGGGCAATCTGTCAGACCTAGACGTACAACCATGGAAATAACCAATGAGGAGATAGTAATTAAATATTTGCATTGATAGTTTAGCCTACAGGGAGGCTGACTTCCATCCCTCTGGCTTGAAGTGCCTCATTTAACTCATAGAGGGGAGTTACCCTCATCTTACAAGTCAGAGAACTGAGCCACAGACAAGCTCAACATTTTTCTAAACTTGGGTGATCAAAAGCAAGCTGGAAGTCCCATGGTCTATTTCAGAGCCACTGAGTCCAGTCACGAGGAACTATGGCTCATGGGCAGGATTTGCTGGGATGGATGCCATAATAGATCATTATAAGGACTACCAAGAACCTATTTTTCTGATATTAATCATTAGTAAAATAATCTACATAAAAACATTAAGTCTTTGGGGACAGAACATTTCTGACTTCTTCTTTCCTCCAGAGCCATTAACAAAAGGATTTTTTTTTAAATCTGTGTCATCCCTTGAGCTTCCTGATGATAAAACTTGCGCAGCTAGCAGGAGATATATATAAGGTGTCCCCACCAGCAGCATCCACTATCTTCTTCCTAGACCCACTGCTGGTGTTACCAACTGTGCACACCTCTATCCCCACAGCTTCCCATCCTTCCCAGGATCCAGGGCCCAAGACGGCAGATGCACGCTGATAGACAAATCAGCAACCATCTCCCAATGGCCAAGACCACTGCCACATTTCTCAATGAGTGTGCCAAGAATATATTCATCTTGTAAAAACAGCCCTAAGAAGTGGCAGACATGCAGAGAGCACTTCAGGCTAAAGGTCTGTCTTTCCTACACAGCAGCCAATGGCTTTCCATTGAATGGTTCGTCTCGACTTAATTGGTTTATCAGGACTCAAAATGTTTTTTTAATTTCCAAAGATCTTCCCTCGTGAACTAAAAATGCATTCTTTTCCAAAGCCATATGGCTAGTTGCCTGAAAGTGTGAATATTTCTGTCCTAACACTGGATCTATGCAACTCGAATGGAGTCTATATTTGGTTTAGAATTCTCTACATCTAAAACTCCTAGGAGGGAATTCAGCCAGTGAATGGATGGTTTGTTGTGACTGAAACACAAATTTATACATTCTCTCTTAGTAGAAAGCCAAGTTCCTCAATCAAATCCTAAGAGTCTCATCCCACTCTCCCTACCTAGTCAAGAGGGTCTTCCACATTTCCTAGCAACCACTGATGTCGATCAAGCAGTAGCCTGCCCCCTTGCACACCTTCTTACAGTAATTTTTATATGCCCTAAATACAAAGACCCAGAACAAGATGCACCAAGTGCTGGTGGAAGGACCAGTGTAGCTGACATATTCTGACAATGCTTCTCAGTGTTGTTAGCCTGTGAGCATGTAGACAGGAGATAGAAATCTTGCATCAGACAAAATTCTTTTCTAAACGGGAAATCACCTTGAATTCAAAGTTTTATAGAATATAATATCCAGGCCTCTGATGAAGGCTAGAGGTTAACTGAAGGTCATCAAACTGGACCAGTGCCAGGAGTGGACTTAGAGACAAGACCCAAGTTAGAAAAAGAAAAGAGAGCCAACATTCCAGGAAGCCATCGGTAGAGCTCAGAGGAAGTGACAAGCATGTGGCTACAGGTGATGTAAGGGGTATGAGGTCTGGAAAGAAGATGGGAGAAAGCCTCGAGAGAAGCTGAGCCACTGCTGCCGAGGGCCTATGGCTGTTTGGAGACTTCAGTTGTGAAGAACCATGGCTACATCTTGTCAAGAAGGAAATAGGTTGATACAGGTGAATTATGGGCTGTCCCTCTCAGGTCAGAAGCATTACATTTGCATTTGCATTTCTTTGCTCTTTTATCATTTATCTTTGAAGCTTATAGAGAAAATTTTGTTTTTTCACCATGAAACTAATGCTTAGACCCAGACACAAAATGAGTTTCTAGCTGTAATTGTGAGCAAGTGCTTTGATTTTTCAGAGCTTCCGGGGAATTTGCTGACTTGCCTTTTCCAAATCCATGGAGCTCTTCAGTCTCCTGGTCTGTTCCACCAAAGGTCTACAGTCAAGGGTCCCAGGCTAAACTCAGATCTGCTTCATTCTTAACACTGGCACTATCTTGAATTCATGCGTCTATTTATTCAAAAATACGGAATGCCTACCGTGTGCCAGGCACAGTTCTGGATTTGGGTGCTACATCAGAGAGCAAGGGTGAAGTCTGGAATCAGTGATGGGGGCTTGTAAAGTTCTCTCTCTCTTTCTTTGTGTGTGTGTATGTCTGTCTGTCTCTCTTAAGTTAAATAAGCAGGTGACTTTTCAAATGAAATATTTCCTTCATGTTACAGGCAGCATAACCTCTGATTGCTAGGTTCATGTACTACATGTCAGATAAAGATGAAAAACAGAACAATGGTGCTTGTGTGTGTGCATGTGTGTGTGCATGCGCACTTGCGGTGGTCAGAGGTCAACCTCTGTGGTGCTCCTGAGTCAGCATGTCAGTTTTTGTTGCACGACTGCACACCATGCCCACCTGGCTGCTGCTGCTGTCCACATGTTATTATGCTGTTTCCAGTCTCCCTCAGCCTCCTTTATTAATATTTTTCTTATTTTCTTATATTAAGATATAATTAAAAATTATATTAGGATATAATTAAATTAATTATATAATTGCGTTGTTTTTCCTCTTGCCTTTCCTTCTATGGAACCTTTCCATGAACCCCTCAAATTCATCGCCTCTCTCTCTCTCTCTCTCTCTCTCTCTCTCTCTCACACACACACACACACACACACACACACACACAGCCCTTTGAAGTATATAAATACAACTTCTTCCATCCATATAATGTTAGTTGTCTGGCTATGTTTTCAGGACCACTTGGTATGGAATAAGCAATGACTGTGCTCTTCCCTCTCTGGAGAAGACACCTCCTCCCAACCTCAACATTCCTCAATCTCCTGCAGTTCCCTGCCTAAGACTGGAGCCCTGTGGGGTTTCCCCTGCACATTAGCACATCTTCTGTTGCTATCATCCTTGCTCAGGACTTATTTAGGCAGCCATGTTGATGGCTATAGCTTCTCTGACATTTCTGGGAAACAATCTCACAGCAAACATCAGGTCTCCCTGGCTTTTACAACCTTTCCGCCTCCTCTACAAAGTTTCCTGAGCCTTGGTGCAAGAGTCGCACTACAGAAGTACCGGTTGTGGGAGGGTACCACATTGGTCACTTGTTCTCAGCATTTTGATTGGTCATGTTTTTCTGTAATGGTTTCCACCTTCAACCTCCTTCTATTCGGCTACTGGATACCTCCTACAGCATCCTGACAGTAAGCAATTCTCTCTTGCTCCATACTCCCCAGGGATGGGTCCAGGGGCTGGGTTCCTGCTACTTCTACAACTTGGCCAGGTCTTGTGAGCTGGCA